AGAAAACAAATGAAAGAGTGTACATATGATAGAATCATACATATCTTCTTTTTTCTTTATCAGTACAATCGTACATATCTGGAAGGCTAGAGATAGCAACATACCCATTCTTCAGTTAGTGATGGGAGATTCTTCCCATTAGTGTCCAAATTAAGCTCACTTGAGTTGACTAGTAGACCCCGTTCCACATCTGAAGCGTTCTTAGGATCACTTAAATCCAGGAATCCATTATTTTCAGAGTGTGAAAGTGATAGATATTTATGACAACTTGTAACTTCTGAAACTTTTACCTCCAAAGAATCGCTTAACAAAGCTCCAGGACACATCATATCAGGGTTCACAGGGCAAGAACCATTTAGCATAGCACAAACTTCAAAAATTTCATTATTAGGCTTTGAATTTTTCTGCCCTAGTGTGTCAGGATCTGACAATGAGTTGCCAACTGAACCACATATTGACTTAATGAATGGAGTATTAGTAGCATTTAAATCAAGGATTTTCTTATGCACTTCTTTACTGCAAGATTTAGCACCAGAAATATAATTGTTTGGTGCACCAAAACTAACTTCATCTGAGACAGTTGATTCATATTTCTTTAAATTCTCTGCTACATTTACAGTCAGTTCCGCTGAGGCAGTGGATTTATTTTCATTTACATTGTTTTCCACATTTACAGGCATGCTGCATGGAGCTAATGAATCATATATTGAAGGAAGGCCACCTTTATTCTGTTGATTGGGCCCTGTAACATCTTTTGCCAACTTCAAGATTTGGGAAGATTTGGTCTGCCCATTACAATCATCAAAGCAGACAGAATTTGCACTCCACAGAAAGGAATTTTTTCCTTGTGTAGAACTCCCTCCTAAGCAACCAAGATCCTGCCAAAGACTCCTAAATTCTTTTTTCGCACTCTTGTCCAGGCTCACACATACCTCATTTCTGTACCTGTTACTCCAATCTGATGGGGATGAATTTAAATCAATACAAAGGTTAATTCCCTCATCTGACCAGACATAAAACTCAAAAGAACGAGAAGGATCTTTAGTAGTTGCTTTTAGTGAAGTAAAAACAAATTCTTCCGAAGAAACACCAGTTTCTACAGCTCCAGAATTATTCTGGTGAAAATTTTGCGCTGTCTTGTCCCTTGTGTTGCATAAATCAATATCAAAGTTTCTTTCAGGCAACTTTCTCTTCTTTGAAGCTCCCTTATACATTGTATACCCAAGGCCCTCCTATAAATGAACACAACTTCATAAGCATATGTTCCAAATGATTGTACCAAGAAAACAAAAAATGAAATTAAAGGTGGAATAACTAAGTATACACGTCATATGCTGTCACCCATATGCATGTACCATGGTAAGTTGGAAACAGGCACACTGTGTGCTGTCCAAACCAAAGTATGAGAAAGTATGAATTATTTAAGAATTAGATTACATGCACAGTTTTAGATTCCAAACAAGTATGTAAACTATGATTGAAACTTCTATTATCTTACTATAAAATACTATCCCAGTCCACTAATGTGCAAAAGAATCACTCCACCACCACTCATAAAATTTCTCCCTGGTATTTTTAAACCCAAGAGCAATAATTTCATTAGAAAATTGCTTAAGTAATAAACATATTCCCAGAAACAACTATTGAACTCATGTCTGATTTGGTACAGATTTAACCTTCTGAGGGATCAATTACACAGCAAGTGGAGACCTACATGGCATATCCCCACAGTACAGAAATAGAAATCTTCAAATTTGTCAAACAATTCGACACTTCAAATTTCAAAATATGTTGTGTTAATACTTAATACAACAAAAGTATGTCAAAAATCACAAATCACAAGTGTTGACAAATTTCTATAAATGCTCTAAAAATATGCAGCAGACTAGCAACACCGTTAAAGAAATCTATAAGTGATTCATGGAAAAAAAAAAAAAAAATCCTTGTTATCAATTGATTTATTTACATCAAGTAGTTGGCCCTCCACCTCAAAACATTGTATTATAATAATCTTATTATGCTGTCACAAATTAAATTCACCAACTACAGAGGAGAAAATTAGCAAGCAGAATATAAAGAAGGCTAACTTGGAAACGGAATGTGCTAGAGTTATAATTATAATTAAAAAAATAAGAAACATGTTAGTATGGATTCAATCAAAAGTTATAAAATTTCAGAACAACCGGTTCCTTGACTTGTTATTAGATTACAACAAAAGTAAGATCTATCCAGGGATACAAAGGTCGATTGGAATTCTCAAAATCGATTCCTGTTAATATCCAAGTAATATTTAACTAGCAGAATGTAAAGGGAACTAATAAATTAAGATACAATCGGCTATGATTGGGTTTTATATTAGTAATATACAGCTGTATTAATTTTTCCCTTTTAGTTATTGTAACTACATTTATATAAGAGCTCTATCCCTCTATCCTTAGATTATTCTATTCAATATCAATAATACAAAAACACTTTTCTCTGTGTTCTGTTTATCTTTCCCTCGTCTATGATTGAACTCTAATACAGAAGTCATGTTGTGCAAGCATAACTTAATTTTTTGTTGTCAATTTTAGAATCCTGTGTATACTATATCCACAATGGTGAACCAAAAAAAACTACAACAAAAGTATGTAAAAAAAACACAACTGAAATTGAAACTTATTATAAACATTAGTAGAATTCAGTTCCCTCCGTGACGAAAACAAAAACACGCCGTAACGCAATCATCATCGGTGAATGCTCGATTCTATGATCGAAACAACCGCTTCGGCAGCACCTTAGCTTAGCTTACGCTGCTCCTCCCCACACCGTCTCCTACACTTCATTACAGTTAGAGACATGCTTATCGCACCTTCCTTTCCTATTTAAACTTTTGAAGGATTTTCCTAACTAAGACGTCATTAAGTTCGATAGTAGCAACTTAGATGCGAAATCAGAGTGTGAGAGCTTAGTATTTTGAAGCATAGATAGGGAATTTGCATAACAGTGAGTGATAGGAAAGAAACAGTTGATCATATTATGAAGAAATGGAAAAAAGAGAGAATGAAGAGGAGAGTACCTGATCGGAAAAGTGGCGGAGAATGTGAGTGGAAATTTGAAAACAAAGTTTTAATACGGATTTGGCATAAATATGCCGCCAAGGGGAAAGGGCAAGGCCGGTAATTTCACATTTCGTCGGTAACAAGTAACAACCATCGGATTACTTGCTCAACAACCTTCTTTAAGGCTTTAATGAGTCGCATCACTCTTCGCATTCAAATTTCAAACTTCACACTCATCGTAATTTCTTTTCTTTTTATATATTTTTTTTTTTACTTTTTATAAGAATAGTTTGTTACCCAAATTGGTTAGCAAAATAATTTAGGAGTTAATCATCCATATATTACTAGTGTAAAGTTTTTTATACTGGTAATCAATCATATCTTTTAAAATTATTTATTTTATTAATATTTCATTAAATAAGTAACTCACATGACACTATTAAAATATATGATTGATTATCAGTGTAAAAAAAATTTACACTAACAATGTATAAATGATTAACTCATAATTTATATCGTCTAAATTTAAATAATCACTTTAAATATAAAATATGGAATAATTTATATTTAAAAGGTACACATTTAAACAAATAAATTGTTGGTAAACATCTTAATTTTTTTATTGTTAAAATATTTTATTTAAAATATTAGTATTTTTTAAAAATTACTCTTGCATTTTTATATAATCTAAAATAATAATAATAATAAATAAGTATTTCATTTCTACAATATTTGGTTCCAACAAAGGTGTGGAAATAGAGAGGAGAGATGAGAAATAAGAGGCAAGAAATATGTTCCATCTTTTGGTACATGTGAATTTTGTCAAGGAAGATATTTAAAGTTATAGATTCATTGTATTTTTATTTCTTTGCAAAATTGTGAGAAAATACACGTGAAATTGAAGAGAGAAAAAGGGTGTTGTAATTGGTTGTGTAAGACATGTATTCAATTGAAGAAAACCTGTATGGTTACAAAATGTAGTACAAAATTGTAGAGATATAAAATGTGTTTCTAAAGCTCTAGCAACAAGAGTCGCTTTGGCCGAGTGGTTAAGGCGTGTGCCTGCTAAGTACATGGGGTTTCCCCGCGAGAGTTCGAATCTCTCAGGCGACGTGATGTTTTTTTTTTTTAATTTTTGGTTCTTTTGTTTTTTTCTTACACCAACATTAATGGATTCTATTTATATATCTTCCACTAACTCAGCATTTACTTTGCAGTTTAATATATAAAGGCGATAATATATTTATTTTTAGATGATTTTATTTTAAAATTTTAAAATATTAAAAATTAATTATTTTTATAAATACAAAATTCAAATCTGAAATTTTAAAATTTAGGAACTAAGTGTAACATTATTTAATCTAATAAATGTTAATAAATATTAAATATTTTTATTAAATAAAATATATCCTTCACTCCCCACTAATAATTTATAATTATCATTTGAAATTAGAATGAAGTTATTACAACCGAAAAGATGGTGATTCTGGTGCATGGCCTATGGGGATGTATCCGGTTAAAATAAATCACTGAATTAATATTGAGAAAAATCAATAAATGAATTAAAAAAATGATCAAAAAGTGGTAAAACTGACGAAAATAAAATAAATTGGCCAAATCCCGGTATAAAAAAAAATCATATTAAGTGTCTTTGGGACGCTACAAAAAAAATTGTAATAATTAATAGTTGAAATAATTAATTATGATTATAATTAATTATAACTAAAAATAGTTTCTTTAAATAATACTGATTGTTCGAAATACAAGAGAGTTAAATACGAGAGGGAATTTAATGAATGAATCATGAACAAATTAAATATGACATCTTAATTAGTTAGTTTTATAAGAGAGTTAAATACTTACTTATTTTTGGATATCTTAATTAGTTTACCTAAATCATCAAAAAAATTTACCTATTAACTAGTATTTTAATAAGTACAATAGACATGTTAAATATTTATTATATATAATTAAATTTTATAATAAATTATATTTATAAATAAATACTTGAATATATAAATTATATTTAAAATTTATATAAATAAATATTTTAAATGTATAAATTATATTTTAAATTTATGATAAATAATTTATATTGTTTAAAAGAGATTTAAAAATATTAAAATATAATTTATAAATAATGATGATAAATAAAAATTAAATTAGATTGTAAACTAAAATAATTCTTAAAAATTTCCTATTTTTATAGAACTTATTCCACCTTCAATCGTTGTTGTCAATTTACTCCTATTTTATTCATTCCCCCAATATGAATTATTATTTTTCTTTTTTATTTTCTTGTTCATTCTTTGTTATTTCTTGAGCCTTAGACGTGTTTGATATTCAAGATGATTTGCAATTCAATTATAAAATAATGGATTCAAAATGCTTGAATTAATTTCAATTTGAAGGATTAGTAGAACTAGATATTGTTATTGTCATTGTGAATATGACTACGATGATGTTCCATGGGAGATACTAACTCGTGACAACTTAAATTTCATGACAGATAAATGAAGAAGAAGGTAGACAAGATAATTAGAACTCTCATCGAAAACGGAGTCAAAACAAAGCATAGGTCCATGTTTGTCATTGTGGACGACAAGTTTCATAACTAGGTATCGCTTTCTAAAACAAACACCATTGGACAATTGGGTATGACATGTGATATCCACCTTATTTGTAAACCATCAAAATATTAGAACATATTATAATTCTTTTAATCTTTTCAACATAAACATTTTTAAAACTCAATTTAATGTTAAATAAATTAGGGTTGATACAGTTAGAGTGCTAAGTAGTGTAATGAGGAGAAGGTTTTACTATGTGTGCAGGTTGTAAATCTTTATTTGGTGCTTTGCAAGGCATGGGTCAAATTCAATCCAACAACTTTATGGTTTCCAAGAACGAGCTTGAACTAAGCAGATGCAATATATAATTGTGATACCTTGCTGTATTGGTTTGTTTGAGGGATAAAGGTGTACATTAGTTTGATTAAGATGATCTTAAATACAATGATGAGAGGAAACGAGAAACGAATATTCAAAAATTGAGGTAAAGGGATCTTTTGGATCATGACAAAGTTGAACAGTTTAAAAAATACCCATTGGTGGTGTTATCGGTGTAAAATCTAGTAAGAACAAAACCATGTCTAAGAAGAATGAAAGTTGGAAGAGTAATAAAAAATGGGGCATAGACAATCACATCTATAAGCTGTGCAAAAAGAGAAGATTTTGATTGTCATATCAGTATCATTGATTGTCATCACAGGACTTTTGTGGATGTTTTGTTCCTACTCATATTTGTTGAGTAATGTTTTAAAAGGCACTTATCTTAAATTAAACATGTTTAATTATGATTTTTTTGAGTAATGAACTTCTAAAAGTATATATATATCTTCATGATATAAGTATTATTAATTAATTTTATTTTAAATCATCAACTGTCAAATCTCACATTTATACAACTTATGAATCTCTTTCGTTATGATTCAAATTTAACGATTCAACGATAACACATTTTTATACTCATTTAACATTATGATATTTCACACAAATTTTAGTTAATCAAAACCTTTTGTTAACTTGAATCTTCTCTCAATAGTCCTTTCTAAAATGTCTATATACTTTTAAGATGTTTGTCCACTTTTAAGATCAATAACTATCTTCACAAATAAAGACAAAATATTTGGACAAATTAAAATTTTTTTTTTTTTTTAAATAATGAGGCAGGGCATAGAAAGATGGCACGTGTTAGCAGCCTACCAAACAGAAAACGCGCAAATAGCCGTTGAGTAAAAATCGAACTAACTGTCCTAGTATAATGAATGCCGGCCTCTACCCTTATCATTGCCCGGCTCCACTCTCCAACGTCTCCTTCTTTATATTAGATCCGTTATCAGCGCCAATGACTTTTTTGCTTTCTTCATTTCTAAAACAATTTATGACTACTTCCAAACCTTACATATAATAAATAAAGCCAAAATAATACTACTTTTATTTACCTTACAATAATTTACATACATTATTTAACTAATTAACTTAAACTCTTTCGATATATATTGGACAGCAGAACGGAAATATATTAAAAAAAAACTGAACATGTACCAAACATGTTTGTTTAAACTAATATTTTAATTAGGTAGTATTGATAAAGATTTTCGCTGGCGACTCACTAATCTGGTATTTAAAATATTGTGAAGAGGAAAGAAGAATTAGTATTTGCCTATGATTCATTCAGAGAGGAGAAAAGGTCATGGGTTGGCAGAGTTATGGTATCTACAACATTATTTATGGATATGAGATGAGTGGCTAGTTAAACAATAACTAAAACTTACAGGTAAGGCAACTCCATTGAAGTGACATGGGGCACTACAATAGTACTAGAAAACACTTATTTAATATGAACGCGTCTTTGAACAACCGAGTCCCATGATGTTCATTATTAAGTAGTAAGTCAATTTATTTTCTTTCTCATATAAATATGGAAAGAAGGTCCCTTATTTAGAAAGCAAAAAACACTCTTGACCACAAATTGTATTGTATTCCGAATGCCAACGATTTTTCATAGGATTGTGGTTGTTTACGAGGTGCTATACCCATTCCTGGTGAGGCTGATCCCCAAGAAGGTGCGAGCCTTCTTCCCCAGTGCAGGAGGATCTTGGAGCTCCCAGAAGAGCAGAAGAACAAGCATGGACCCGCAGGAGCTGAGGCGCGTGTTCCAGATGTTCGACCGGAACGGCGACGGGAGAATAACGAAGAAGGAGCTGAGCGACTCGCTGGAGAATCTGGGGATCTTCATCCCGGACAAGGAGCTGTCCCTGATGATCGAGAAGATCGACGTGAACGGCGACGGGTGCGTGGACATCGACGAGTTCGGGGAGCTCTACCAGACCATCATGGACGAGCGCGACGAGGAGGAGGACATGCGAGAGGCCTTCAACGTCTTCGACCAGAACGGCGACGGCTTCATCACCGTCGACGAGCTCAGGACCGTCCTCTCCTCCCTCGGCCTCAAGCAGGGTCGGACCGTCGAAGACTGCAAGAACATGATCATGAAGGTCGACGTCGACGGCGACGGCATGGTCGACTTCAAGGAGTTCAAGCACATGATGAAAGGGGGTGGCTTCAATGCTCTCACTTGACTCTTACTTTCTTACTCTTACCCATTCCATTCCTTTGTAAATAAATTCACTCAAGAAACTATTGCATGGTCCACAACTACTACTCATATTTCGTTTATGGCCGATCGATCAAATGGTTTCCATGGATCTTCACGTAATTTGATTATGCGCATCATGTCACGTGAAGATCGCTGAAAACCATTTTCAGGATTACTGATTTGGTTTTCATGTGACATCATGTGATGTGAAGATTGGTTGAAATCATGGACACTCAGACCATGGATATGGTGTAGGATTCGGAGTTCAGATCAATCTCATCTCAACTTATCTCGTCCTTGGTATGTATTGTATTGTAATGTGCGTACGTACGTGCCTCGGACTTACCATGCATGTCATGCCATGTCTTTTGGTTTCGGAAGAGGCACGCGTCCAGGCTTTTGTGTGTTTGTATTTTTTTTTCCAACGTTGGACGTTGGTTTTGGATATTTAGCACATGGCTCGGCGATAACGTAGATGAGAGAAGCCTTGCCCTGGTAATGCTAGTACTTTTTTTTTCTTCTCGTTTTTGGGGGTAGGAGGAGGGGGAGGAAGGCCATTGAAATCGGGGGGCTATTGCTACTGTCACAAGATGTGTTTTGTGTTTTTTCTTGTTGAAGTTTTGAGGCGAGAAAGGTTGGTTCTATTTTTACTCGGTATAACTGTTGAATCACTTTGTTCAATTCTCTTTCTTTTTTTCTTTTTCTTTTTTTCCTTTTATCATTACCATATTTGCTAGAAATTCACGGAAAATAAAGTGATATGACTCTAATTAATAAATTATTGGGGCAGTTTTACCTACCGCACTGTATTATAGTAATATTTTATTGATATGCAACAACATTTAGCATTTGCAGTTGGCAACAGTTTGATAATTGGTAAAGTCTGCATATGCATAATGCCTTGACTGCATATTAATTTGCCAGGATGTTCACAAGTCACCCTTAATCGAATAAAAAAGAATAATTTGGGTAAATTTGTCCATATTATAAAATTGAAAAGTAGTATTTATCTAGTACTAGGTCACTATTTCTTCCACCAAAAGTAAGTTAACCAGAAATTCCCGCTATATTGGAAATCATTAAATACGTAAGCAGAATGCAAGCAGGGGAGACTAGAGTCAATATTTGATGTAACCACGATCCCACCCACCAACTTGGAAAAAGTACATGATCCAATGAATAAAGTTGAGTCCAACGGGAAAAATGAAATGGCCAAGTTACTCATGAGGGAAACGCTTTTCAGCAAGAATAACAATGTATAAATTACACTTTAAGCACCTACCTAATCCAGGACATGGTACACACCAGAAAATGAATTTCCTGCTAAACTATATGCTGCCTGAAGTTTAACTTAACCGCTACACTACTTCAAGTGAAACCGCATCTAAATGCCGACAGAAGAATGTTAGCTTTCAAATACCAAATAGGCTTCTTCTTAACAATCTCAACTAGGATGTCTCGCCAATGCGGAAACATGCTATAGCAGCACTGATTAGTAATTACCCACCATCGGAATCTGATTTTTCCTCGATCTCTCTTATACTTCTTACTACAGCAGCAACTTTTTCAGAAATGTGTTCTGTGTGCTTTTCTAAATCATTCAGAATCATATTTAACTGTTCTTCATAAGCAGCACAGCGTCGTTTGCACTTTTGCCTTTCATTGTACAACTCAAGTGATAGCTCACGGATTCTCTTATCTTTCTCATCCTGTGACACAAATCATCAATAAAAGTAAAATACTTAAAGAAAGAAACACGGAGAATAAAAATTCAACCCTGGGGAGTAGACACAAACGTAGCTGTGACTTCCAATTTTATATCACAGTTTAATCAATCAAATTCACAGCATTTTTCTTTCTTTCAATCTTTTTTGTGTGGTGGGAGGCTTAGTCTTTTGTGATCTCAATACAGGTCAATTACAGGCAGTTATTTACTACCATATCTTCTTGATAGAACTCCATCACGGTCTTAGATATATGTTAGGACAACATTTAAGAGAACTTTGCAATCCAAATCCAATGCAACATGGGATACAATATGCCTTTGAATAACTAACAGCCTAGGATGTAAATTGAAGGGAAAAGATTTTTGTTCGATCAGTGGAGCATATAGAGAAAAAGGGGAACAGTGAGAAGGCAGGAAAAACTGTGAGTAACAGGCTGGAACTGAGAGAGACGAGGCACTCTCAAATTGCATGGGATTACCCATATTTTGCTGACTAAACATCCAATCTAGCCCCTAAAATTCTAAGCATTGATCATTTAGTCTTTGAATTAACAAAATTTTTCACTTTAGTCTCTAACTTTACAAAAAAAAAGTCATTCACTTTAACCCTTTTTTAGTTCATTTTTCACTGTCATTTTGAAACTAAAAATACTAAGTGATGATGTTTTGCAAATTAAGGGGCTAAAGTAACCAACACTTACAATTTCAAGGACTAAAATGAGAGTTTTCTTGTATTTTGATAGTCAAGCACTCAAGCTCATCTTGTTCTGTCTATTTCAACCCCATCAATACTATTGTCAATCCCATAACAGCAGCATGAGAGGAGATCTAATCAGTTGTCTATTTACACTATACAGTCCAGTTCAATCAAGTATTTTTAAATTGTTAGTTAAAAATGACTGATTTACTGGTCTCTTTTTTTATCATCCCTTTGTTGACAACAAAGTAACAAAGGAAAAAAGATTTGAGAACTGTGTATTCAACCATAGATCATACATCAGTTCATAAGTACCATCTAATCATAATCGCCTGTCTGGAGAGACATACCTCACTAACCAAGTGCTTCCCAGATCCTCGCCATGGAACTTTGCTGGGACTCATTAGTTTATGAGTATGCTCCTTCACAAATTTGGTGACAACCCACTTCCCTCCATCCCGTAATGCCAACCTTATCATGGCCTGACAACCTTCACGGGTGGCTGGTGGAGGAGGTAGCACTCTATCTTTTCTGTGTACATACTTTTTTGCACGAAATCCTTCTTTCGAGCAGACAAAATCTTGACCAATGACTTGGTTATTTACTCGTGAACGACGGTTATGGTGTATTCGTACGGTAAATCCTATCCGCCTACCATATGCAATATAGAATTCTCTGGCTTCCTCTCTTGAATTGAACTCCATGCCTATGAATGGTTCTACAGCTTCTATATCTGTTGAAATGTCTGCTACAGGTTGTTCGACAAACTTTTCATCTTCACTTCCACAAAATTCTAGGTGTTTTGAAAATTCATCCACATTCTTATGTTTCTCATTAATTTCTGCTTGCATATCAAGGTCACTATCATCTGAATCAAATCCCTGGCCAGATTGGTGATCCATCACCCCACTGTGGCAGAATTATGCATATAATTAGATTATCTTTCATAGTTCATCAGAAAACTGAAGGAAAAGTTGATGCATGATACAACCAGTAATCATAAAAATTCAAGAATATGGTTATTATGGTTTTGTGATTTCCAAATTAAAGGGTTTCCATCTTTTTTAATTCTCTTTGTTTGAAATATAAATGGTTATAAGAAGCAGTTCCCTTTATGGATGGATATCCATGTGCTATCAGAAAAAAAAAAAAAAAAAAAAAAACTTGTGCATATTTACAAGGTTGTTAAACTTGAGAGTCTACATAAACACATGGAACTTTTCATAAATTCATTAGAGTTTACTTAATATAAAAAGTAATATTAAAAAATCTATTAATGACATGTATGGATAAAAACATAAGTTCTTAAAGTGAAAACATATAGAAAAAAGTGTTAATTTCCTCAAATCATTTGAGCCCTAGTAAAATTTTACATTTACGTTGGATTCAATAACAGTGCATGAGCAGCATAAAATACTGCCACTATGTGGAGTCAATGAGGGGCAAAAATTACATTTGATTTTAAAGTCACTAATTCACTTTTTGATTTGAGTGTATATGCAAGGTTATGTGATTTTACCTGAGTTTATCCACAAGAGTTTGACAACAGTTAACTCATTATCTCTACTAAGAATCATAAACTTATAAGAGTCTCCGAGTTAACTTGAGAGTTCGACAACAGTGCCAATTCGATTCTTTAATGTTAATAATAATAAGTTAATAACCATAAATATTGATAATAATGTTCAACCAAAAATAGAAAAGAAAACAACAAAACCAAAGGGGAAATCGGAAGAAGTTCTATGAAGCTTATTAAAGCATATCTTACCATAGAAGCACTTGTGTTGAATATCAAAGGTGTTTGACTAAGCTTGTGAAAGTAAATAATGATCTTCCAACAAGCTCTTTTTAGCTTATCAAAACGAGTTAAGGTAGTATTTGGCCTTACTATTTTTTTTTGGCTTCTCTTCTCCTTAAAAGCAGAAGCTCCTCCAACTAAAGCTTCTGTGAAAGATCTACTTTCCAATTTTGACTTTCCCATTAAAATAAGCTTTTAGTTTTAGAAATATTCTTAAATCGTGTTTTGCCCCAACTTTTCCTATTAAAATGAAGAGATGTCCAAAAAAAGTTGGGACGAACATTATATAAAAATAGTTAATAGGAGGGTCTGTAGGAGAGTTATAACCATAACCTATCAAAATAACTTCACAATGCATGAAGTTGAGCCACCATCTCTTTTGTGATAATCTCTTATGAATCAGCATGTAAGTAAGTTTTTCATCCAAGCTACAAATCTAGTATGCTCGGCTGCCAACACCAAAATATCAACCCCAATTTTGAAAGAGCATAAACAAAAATAAGGCAGTCTTGTATTTTGTTAAGATTGTTTATAGAGTGGATAAGGATGTTGGCTATCCTATCTATTAAAATTTGGAAGAATATCAGACATTAAAAGCAATTAAGTAGATCCTATACTACAGAAAAAACTTAAAGGGGGGGGGGGGGGGAACC